CTTCTCTCCCTAAATGGGAAGGAGGAGAAGTCAGTTTCACAGCCTTCTGCCGCCACAACTTCTTAACAAGAAATCTACTACTAATTTCACTCATAAATATCCCAAGGAGATAGGAAGCTGATCTCCTCATTGCATGCTGGGGAAAGATGATTGCCACGATGTTAATAAATCAAGAGATAATTGATTTTTCTTCGTCTCTACAGTTTCTATTCAGCTGTTGCCCTTGAGCTGTACTTGCACTCTGAGAAGTCCCAGAACAGCTGCTTAGAGATTACAGGGATACTCCCAAAAGATCAGTCCACACACTATATAAGCATCCATTCTAGAAAAACGAATTCATTGAGAGATCAAAGAAGGATTTTTTACTCTTGCATTAGGCAGTAAGTATGTTCTTGGCAGTTCCAAGAATGAATGGCAGGCCCCACTCCTGATGCATGGCAATCAACAGCCTGTTTTGCTAGAGTATCCCTTCCAGTCCAGAAACGAGAGTGGGGAGCACTGAGCCCTGCTACAAAGCCAGAAATAAAAGGCTTTCAGTGGGACTCACTGGTAAGTAGTTTATTTATCATTGCAAATGAGCAAAACTGCCCAGTGTCAGGATGTACCTACCTCTTAAGAGCACATTAAAAAGTGTTGTGTGTATTTTCATTATCATTTTGGTGGCACTTACATAATGACATAAATTTTTACTATTTTTTTCTGTGTGTATGGCAAATTCCACAATAGTACTTATAGAACCAGAGTAGAGTTGCATCAACAATTATCTACTACAAACCTGAGAGGTGCCTGAATTACTTAAGTGAAGTAATATGGTTGAAAAATTTGTTTATAATAAATAATATCAAATATGAAGTGTTAGTCCTTTATTTTTGACAAGCAAGACAGAAAGGAATAATTTTCAGGGAGAAAGCATAGGGACACATTTCTCCTGTGACGCGTGTGACAATACATACACTCAAAATACTTGTTTGAATTAATATAATTAAATTTGCATAACATATACTCGGAAACATTTATTCACTGACTGGAGGTTCTTATCTTTATGTTGCATCACACTGATGTTTGGGAAGTGTGTTGCAAGCAGTTTATTAACTGCAATAGAGCCCTGAAGCTTGTGAATTATTTACTTCCCCCACAATCCCTTTTTCAGAAACCTCATAGATTCAAGGTTATTTCTATATAATTTCATTCATTTGCCTTTGACATGATTTACTGATTGGGGAAAAAAAGCAAAGTTGCTGCTCTCTGGTTAGGAACTGAGGGAGCACCACCTACACGGAAAGGAGACAGGCCAAGGGGCCATGGTACCACATCTATATCCCCATATGCTTACTTTTCTCAGGTCAGGAAGATGTTTGCTCCAGAAGTGCTAGACGGAAATGTCCTCTCAAATTTAGCTGAGATGTCTCTTCTTAATTTCCTCTTTCTTTGTGGCCTAATTGCTGGATTTCATATTTTTCCTGTTCTGCTGGCTTTAACCTGGGTTGTTCAGCGAGCAGTCTTTACTTTCCAAGGTTTGGTTCCCAATTTGGCTTCAGAAGGCAGGGGGATGAAATGTCACTGAGAGTGCCGACCTCCATAGTGGCAGGGTCAGGGATCTGAGGTGCCCACTCCTGAAAAGGTCATTAGTAGGGGCCAGCTCTTTTCTACTCTATCACATTCATAAGAAAGAACTCAAATTTTAACAATGGTTCTCTGCTGTCCATGGGATAGGCTGGGGGAGAGGTGCACTTGCCTGTGAGACCCCTATAGAGCTACCCTCTTCTCAAATCTAAGACTAAAACTCTGGTTAAAAGCTGCTGATCTATGTCATGTTTGAGGCATTGCTGAAGAAGCAAGTCAATGAACCTCACCTGAAACTTGAGTCAGTTCTCTTTCAGGAGATATAACCATCTAGCCATTGCTTATACATCTCTAGTGACAGGATCTCATTAGTAGTTCTATGTTGTTCTATAAATGCTTGCTTATATAGTCTAAATTCAGTTCATGAAACAAGAATTTGCAAGATTAAACAGCAAAGAAAGAATGAACATAAGGTCTTGATGCTTATATTTACATGCCTCAATTAAGCAGAATGATAAAGAGATTTCAATTTAATATGTCAAGTGGGTTGCCAAGAAATGTTTGAAATGAATCAAGTAAGTAGAGTTGTGAGCAGCAAACCTGAGTATTTATACATTATTATGTTGAGGGACTGTTTCTCAGTGGTCAAACCTGAGGCTCTGGGATAACCTCTTGAAGCCTCAGTTTTCTCATCTGTAAAACAGGGATAATAATAGTATTTATCCTTTCAAGTTGCTTGGAGAATTAATGAGCTAGTTCATGAAGAGTGCCTGGTATACAGCATGTACTCAACATTTATTAAATGAGTGGCACAGTAATGGTATTTGCAATGTGTCCAAAAGGGTAAGAAAACACAGTATCCTGCTTTGAAGTGACCTTGACTGGCAAATCACAAATTTGATATAAAGTTTTCCAAAACTGAACAGGTAAAAACAACAAGGTCATTTTTCCATCATCACCATAGGCTGCTTGAGTTGAGAGAGACCTCACGGTTCAGCCAGTCTGGGTCTTTGTTTTAGAAATAATGAAAGAGAAGCCCAAGTCATGCTCTTACAGAAGCAAATCTCTTCATGTTTTTAAAAGGGTGTGATTTGGGACAAACGTGAGAGGGGCAACACTTGGAGCAATTCAGGAGAAAAGAACTAACTCTGGGCACCCGACCTCCGTGCCTTTGCTTCTGCCCCCTCTGCCTCAAACGCCTGTTTAAATCCTTCTGTTTAAATCCTTTAGGATCCACAACAATGCCATGTCTTTTAAGAAACTTTTTTATATCTCCACTTCCATAGATGTTTTTACTGCCCTTCTTCATTTATCAAACATTTACTCAGTGCACCTATATGTAAGGCCCAAGAGCAGTTTTTAGCACGAAACTGAAAGGTCCAGACTGTGCCCCTAAGGAGCTCATATTCAAGATGGAATGACAGGCTTTGAGCAAGAAATCAGTGTTCTATCCCAAGAGATGTTCAAGCAGAGGTTATTTAACCACAGATAAGTAAAATAATAACTTATTTTTAAAAATTGTATAACGATTTCTGCCTCCTACCATACTTTATCTTCCCATTAGCTTGTAAGTTTCATTGAAGACAGGAATCAGATCTCACTCCCATTTGGTTTTTTTTGCAAAACCTAGCCTAGGGCTAACTTAGATCATATGGAGGAACTAAGCTGGTTTGAATTAAAACCACCTAGTAATAAGAAAAGATTGTTGGAAAATACTGAAAGGAAATGGGAATTTCATAGCTTGAAGAAGTTAATATCTTACACATAAGAGAAGGTCGTAATTTGTCTTTCCTTCCCTCTTTATATGAGGAGAAGAACAGGTGAGGTATAAAAGGCTGAAAGAAATATTAATACTGAAATGAATTTCTGAGACAGGATGTAGACTTTTTCTTGGTAAATTTGTTAAGAAAGGACCTTACCTAACTAGTTAAAAACTCTGCCTGGAATAGCCTTACCATGGAAGTGTGGTCCCTGGACCAGCAGCGTGGGCATCAGGAGCGTGTTGAAAATGAAAAAGATTTACATCCACATTAGATTTTGAGATGCACTAGCCTACATATACAATGACTTCTAATTATTGCATCTGATCCCAGGAGCCCAAATTGGTGAATTATACAAATAGAAATCTGGACCAGGTAAAATAGTTCATATATTCCATATCAATAAATTATTTGCCACAAACTCCTGAAATCATTTGGACTTTTAGATAAATTCTCCTGTGTGCTGATATTAAGTGTGTGTGTGTGGTAAGTAGATCAGCAATTAACATGGAGATTAGATTAAAATTTTTAATCATTCCTTTGATATCAATATGAAATATTGAAATCATATATGAATAGCTGTTTTCCATATGTACTGTAAGTTTTCACAACCATATCAATTACCCTTGTTTAGTTTATCCCCATTTTATACCCTTTGAGGAAATAAATTTCTTAAGGTTAGTCAACAAAACATTTCATTTATTACCCAAAGCAAAAAAATTCACCTTTTAAGACTTCTAGACTTTTTTCCACAGTTTATATTTACATTTTAAAAATTATTTATGTTTAACTTCAGTACCAACTTTCTACTGAAATTTAAATAGTTTAAGCTCTTCAAGGCCCCATGATTTGTAATTTTTAATGCAAGTTTTGTTTGCCTATTAATTATGTACCTCGAATTATTAGAATAAAAGATAAGAATGCAGGGGCTTTGAAGACTATAAAGGATTTTACAAATATAAGATATCATGATCAGGTAATGTGAATTACTAACAATTATTATTATGCACCTTATACTCTCTGTGCCTCAGTTTCTTGATCTGCAAAATGGGCACAGTAGGTTGTTTTTTTGGTTGTGTGAACCAAATGAGTTAATGCATATAAAACTTAGTAGTAATACGTGTGAAAGGTTAGCCTATAATAGGCATTTAATATGTATTATCTATTATTATCTAATGTGTGTCTCTACTCATTGCTTAGTTTAGAAAATTCTGGTTGAATTCAGCTATGTAAAAATATTGCATCTTTTCAAAGTATCCTATTGGGTTCTGTTTTATTTTTTTGATTGGATGGGTTTATAAAATTCAATTTAATCTTTAAAGAAAAATGTATCTTTTAAAAATTGCACTAAGCAAGATTTTTAAAGCCAGATATTTTTGTGTTTAGAACCAGGGTAAGAAAAGTTATCATTAAATTATTTTTCCTATGAAATCTCTACATGATTGTGGAAAGTAAGGTCATTATTATATAGCAGAGGGTTTGAAATTAAGGTTGCCTATTCATAAGCAATAGCATGTACATTTTGAGAGGGCAAGTGTCTGTTGTAACATACAAAGTCTGGTGCATAAATGGTACTTATTATTGATGGATTTTGATTATGATGTTGATATTGATGATGACTATGATATTCAATATGGTCGCCCTGTACTGACAGAATGAGTATCAGGGATAAGGAAAATGGATCGGACATTCCTTGACAACATCCCTCTGGTCAACAAGAAGTCTGTTCATTCAGACCAGGGTAATTATTTCTATTATGGTTTTGGTTCCACTGCATACATGTAGTATGTCCCACGAACATCAAGTAATTAGAAGTTACATTTCAAGGTCTTTATAATAAAAGCAGTGTACACTACTTCAGAACCATATTATTTAAAATTATTATAAATTCTTGAACATTGAAAATTCAGTTTTACAATTTGGATATCAACACTATGCATCAGTTTCCTAGAGTAAACTCCCGTGGAACAATTTACCATGATTAATTTTATTTCTTTCTATAAATATAGATAGACAGACATCTATCTGTAATAGAGATGATTATGTCTGCTTTATTGATACCAGGAGTTAAAAAATACATGTCACTGATTTTTTGAATGACTTGAAGTTCATTTATATAGTCGATAAAGAATAAAACACATACAATAACATAAGAACTTCTAAGAGTACTCACAGAGTCCCAACTCAATTCCAATATTGACTTACTGTAAATAAATGCTAATAAGACTTAGGGGAAGAAATGTCTGCAGTTAATCTAGACAGGACAGTGAATATTTTAGAATCTTTCTGGATACAGCTTCTACTACACTCCTTGTAAATATTAAGGATCACAGGAGTCCTGTCTTAGTCTTCTTTTCTTTATCTATTCTCCTTGGTTGATTTCAAGTATACCCATGACTTCAACAGCCATCTAATGGCTCCCCAAATCATATTTGTTGTTCTAGCCTGTCTTTTAAGGACAAATCCTTTATTTTAACTGCTTGTTGGGCATTTCCACAAAGGTATTCCACAGGTACCTAACATCATGATTAGTCAAATCTAATTCACTATCTCCTCTCTCCATACCTGATGCACCTCATTTATTTCCTGTTTTAATTAATGATCCCAGCCTGCCCAAGCTGATTTGGCATCCTCACCATCCATCAACCTCAAAGTGCTCTAAACAAGGCTCCTTCTCTATGGACTGTAGCTTCAGGCATTTTTTTCCCCAAACCAAAAACCCTATAACTTCAGTGACACAACATGTCATTTTGTTCTGGTTTTACTTCTCAGACTACTCTCTTTGGCTAGAAAAAAAAAAAGTGTTTTAACCTAAGGTGCAGAACCTATAAGGGACTCTGGGGATGGGTTCACAATTTGCAATTGCATATCACAATTTGCAATTGCATAAAGTTTCTGTGCGTGGGTATGTGTGTATTTTCTGGATTTATAGATTTTTATCTGTCTCTCATAACTGACAATTTCCCAAAACCCAAGCTATTATCCTCTAGATATCCCCTGCTTCCAGAGTACACCTACCTAGAATGTGGTCTCTGGGCCATTATTGGTACTCTGCAGTCATTCATGCTCATTCACACCACAAAACCCAGTTTCAGGCAGACATTTGGGCTCTCCAATGGCCTCTGAGTGGAGGGAGGGTATTTTCTGAGACCCTTGTTGCAGCAGCACTCAGTTATTTTTGTTCCTAAGGACCTTGTCCAGAAAGGCAGGCTTGACAGAGCTTCACACAGCCTGGACTGTGCCCCAGAGGAAGCCAATGCCCTGGCCGTCTCTCTGGGGTAGCTAATAAGGTTGTACTTGAAGTAAAAATCAAAAGGCTCCTCAATGCAGTTTTCATCTCAGGATTAGTTAGAACCAAACTTAAATACTTCTTAGGTCACTAAGACTTAAGTATTTTCCCCATTTTTATATCTCTCTACTTCTTTACCATATGTAGTTCAGAACATCACATTTTACAAATCACATCAAGTCACTTTCTTGACAATGTTTTATTTGGAGGAATGAGCATGATTCATGGGTACATGGGCCCTGAACCACAGGTGCAAAGCCATGCTTGCTGTGGATGTAAGTGTATATTTGTGTGTGTGTGTGTGTGTGTGTGTGTGAATTAATCTGCTAGAATTTGGCAGCAACCATTAGGTTTGCTCCACCCACTCCTTTGCAATCTAGCAGGAAGAGAATGGGAAAAAATTCTACTCCTTGGGAATATGGAGCTGTAATATGTGCTAGACTCAGCACTGTAGCTGGAGAAGAGACAGGATCACTTGTGAAGGCCACACCTCCAGATCCAGGCTCACAGCATCTGAGATTAAGGCTTAACCAGAACATTAGAAAATACCTATTCCCTGTTCCCTACCAATGTACCAACAAATACCAAGTAAATATAACAGTGGAATACAGCTGTGAGATCTTGAAGAAACAGAATATCTCTAGAAACAGGGAAAATAAAAAACCCAAAACTAAACAGGGAACAGAAATGTGGGCACACCAGCCCATACCATCAAGAGAAGTATCGCTAGAGTAGTTTGAAGCCTGTGGTGCGCTCAGGGTGACCATGGGAACAACAGGCTCAAGCTCAGTCTAACTACTCACTAGATTAACCCTCATACTAAAGTTGTAGAAGGAAAGGCATGGTCATTTTAAAGCAAAAAAAAAAATCTGTATGTATTATCCTATACAATATGTCCAATTATAATGCCTACAAAAAGATAAGGAGAAATGTACTCAGAACCAGACTTGGAAATGAGAGAGATATTAAAACTACCAGACAAGGAATATATGACAACAATGAATAAGTTAAGGGTTTTAATAGAAGAGATAAACAATATACAAAATCAAACAATTTCAGCACAGAGATGGAAACTGTAAAGGATCAAGTGGAAGTACTAGAAATAAAAAAACAAAAATAAAGATAAAAAATGCCTTTAGCAGGCTCCTCAGAAGACTTGTCATAGCTGATGAAAGAACTGGTGAACTTGATGATAGGTCAATAGATATCACCCAGACCTATAAACACAAAGAGAAAAAAAAAAGCAAAAAAAGAAAATAAACACAAACACACACAAAAAAAACAGATTATCCAAGAGCTATGGCATAATGCTAACCTGTCTGACATACATCTAATTAGAATCCCAAGAAGGAAGAGATATAATACAAAATAAATATTTGAAGAGATAATTCCTGAGAATTTTCCAAAATTTCTGACAGATCCAGAAATTCAAAGAATACCAAGCAAAATTAAAACAAAACAAACACTAAGTATATTATATTCAAACTTCTGTTAAGTAAAGAGAAAAAGAAAATGTTGAAGGCAGCTAGAGGAAAAAAAATTCAACCTTACAGAGTGCCTAATATAGGAATTACAGCAGACTTCTCATCAGAAGCTATTTAAGCAAGAAGACAATGGTGTGGGACCTTTAAAGTGCTAAAAAATAAAAACATGTCAACTAAGAAGATATGTTTCATATATTAAGAGAAATAAACTTTTTTTCAGACAAACAAGATCTGAGGGGGTGCATTCCTAGCAGACATACTATAATAGAAATATTAATGAAAGTTCTTCAAGGAAAAAGATTATGATAGAGGTCAGTAACTTGGATCTATACAGAGAATCAAGAGTATTATAAATGGATTAAATGAAGGTAAAAGTATTGGGTTGAATAATATCCCCCCAAAATTCACATCTGCCAAGAACTTCAGAATGTGATCTTATTTAGAAAAAGGTCTTTGAATGGACAATATCCATCATATCATAGATAAATTTTCACAAATGCCTAGGATGCCTAACTGGTTTTCTTGGTTTCACTGGAGATGGCTGGTAATTATAGGTATGCTTTGGTTATGTAACTGTATTCCTATTATGTTAATGTGTGTGCACAATTTAATTAGTAGTTTAAAACCTATACATGCTTAAGTTACTCTACAAGAAGATATGTCAAAGAAATAATCAATCCTCCCATGTTTTCTTCCGTCTGCTACTTCTATAGCTTTTCTTCTTCCTTC